ATAATACTTTATGAAAAACTTTATGAAAAACTTGTGCAGGCCGTAATACATTATGAAAAACTTGAGCGGGCCGTAATACTTTATGAAAAACTTGTGCGGGTCGAAAGATAATAGGACAGGGGCAAAAACTATTGGAAAATAATGAAAATAAACAATATTTCGTTAGTTCCCGGGCTGCCAAGTTGGTGCTGGCAGGCCACATGCGGCCCACAGGTTGTGCAGGCCTGCACCATAGGACTGTGATCCAGTGTAGAATATCCACTGATCGGTTTAATACAACAGTTTTCTTTTGTATGCCTTCGAGCTGGGTCTTGAGAACTCTAATCAGATTAGCTCCAACATCTGAGGAGCCCGGTGATACAGATATAGTCAGAGGCGGATTCGAAGGGTGTTTGGGGGTGGAGGAGTAGCTTAATCTAATATTCTGAAAGCTAACAAAGTCTTAACTACTTCATGACCTTACATTATAGTATAGATCAGGGGTCGCAACCTTTTGGTTTTAGCAAGCCAAATAAGACTTCTCATTCATTCAGTGTGCCAAAGTAAGACTTCTAATTCATTCAGGGTGGAAAAGTAAGACATCTAATTCATTCAGTATGCCAAAGTAAGACTTCTCATTCATTCAGTTTGCCAAAGTAAGACTTCTAATTATGCATCATGCCAAAGTAAGGCTTCTAATTCATGCATCATGATAAATTAAGACTTCTAATTCATTCAGTGTGCCAAAGTAAGACTTCTCATTCATTCAGTGTGCCAAAGCAAGACTTCTAATTCACCCAGCGTGCCAAAGTAAGACTTCTAATTCATGCATCATGCTAAATAAAGACTTCTAATTCATTTATTGTGCCAAAGTAAGACATCTCATTCATTCAGAGTGCAAAAGTAAGACTTCTAATTCATTCAGTGTGCCAAAGTAAGACTTCTCATTCATGCAGCATGCAACAGTTAGACTGCTAATTCATTCAGCATGCCAAAGTAAGACTGCTAATTCATTCAGCATGCTAATGTAAGACTTTTAATTCATTTAGTGTGCCAATGTAAGACTTATTATTTATTCAGCGTGTCCATATCTTTTTTAAATAGTCATTTATAATCATTTTTGTGGTCTTCCGCATCCCAATGAAAATTGTTATGCGTGTCAAGTCTGGCAGATGTTGTGTAGTTTCTCCGACCCTTGTTAAAGATTATCTGACTATGCGTGTGACATAATGTAATAGTTACAAATAGTCCAAAAATAGGGCACTGCATGTGGCGTCTTTGGGGGCTGGCATGTGCAGCAATGAAATAAGGCCATGCATGTTATGTCATGAAATGTGGACATGTCTGTGATGTTGAAAAATTGGCCCAATTTGTGAAGAAATGATATGGGGTCCATGTGTGTTACATCATAAAATGAGGCCATGCAAGTGACATCATGAAATGGGACCGTTTGTGAGAGTTCATGAAATGGGACCATGTGTGTGTGATGTCATGGAATGGGACCATGTGTGTGTGATGTCATGATTTAGGGAAAAACTCTCTCAATCAAGTGGGTGTGAGTGTCAAACGTCTTTGTTGGTATTTGGGACATGAAAAGTTAAATTAAAATAGTGTGTCATCTTTTCTTAAAGAACATGTAAAAATGTTAGGTTTAAATGGAAGGTAAAAATGTGAGGTTTTAATTTAAGGTTAAAATGTGAGGTTTAAATGTGCAGAATTCATTCAATTGTGTTTCAACCAATCAGCAAAACTATTTTTTTGTTAGAGAGATTAAAACTAATTTATTTAAGGTAAAAATGTGAGGTTTTAATTTAAGGTTAAAATGTGAGGTTTAAATGTGCAGAATTCATTCAATTGTGTTTCAACCAATCAGCAAAACTATTTTTTTGTTAGAGAGATTAAAACTAATTTATTTTAAATGGATGGTTATGTTGAATAACATTTACTGAGTGGCATGGGGGGGGGGGAATCGTGAGTTGAAAATTTAATCAAAATAAGAACCATTATGTAAAACCAACAAAGGATTAGAATTTTTAAAATATTGTTAAAAAAAGAATAAACAATTATAAAATTTCATGACAGCTTTATTACTCTACCTTTGATGATATCATGTCAGAGCATTGAACCTTTAAAAACTATTCAAAAATTGTACACCACTAAGTAAGGTGGAGTTTTTTTGGATTAAAAAGTTTTAAAACAAACTTTTATTTATAATACCAGTACAATCAATAACACTCACAATCATTTGAGGACAATTACTAGCACTCATAATCAGACCACAATTAATAACTCTCATAATCATTTGAGCACACTCACTGGTTTTGATAGTGTGGAACAGGAACAGAAAAACTATCAGTGTGTAGCAAGACGCTGCATACTCTTTCCACTTTAGCCATTATATTATCTCAGATCCAGATCCATTTGCTTCACCAACACAATCACATCAGCAATCTTACATTGAATCTTCACAAACATTTACATCAGCAATCTTACATTGAATCTTCACAAACAATCACATCAGCAATCTTACATTGAATCTTCACAAACAATTTACATCAACAATCTTAAATTGAATCTTCACAAACAATCACATCAGCAATCTTACATTGAATCTTCACAAACAATCACATCAACAATCTTACATTAATTCTTCACAAACAATCACATCAGCAATCTTACATTGAATCTTCACAAACAATTACCGGGTACATCAGCAATCTTACTTACATTGAATCTTCACAAACAATCACATCAGCAATCTTACATTGAATCTTCACAAACATTCACATCAACAATCTTACATTGAATCTTCACAAACAATCACATCAGCAATCTTACATTGAATTTTCACAAACATTCACATCAGCAATTTAACATTGAATCTTCACAAACAATCACATCAGCAATCTTACATTGAATCTTCACAAACACTCACATCAGCAATCTTACATTGAATCTTCACAAACAATCACATCAGCAATCTTACAGTTAACTCATTCCCTCCGGCAGTGCTACTTCCGGACTTAATTTATTTTCCTGAGAAAAGGGAAGTAACTCAGTTTTGAAATCGATTTACATTTTTAAAATATTTTATTAAGTTGCTAAATATTATTTAATGTTAATGAATTAAAGAACAAATGCAACAAAAAATGAATAAGGTTTAATATAAATATAACATTAGCGGGGAAAAAATGATGAACAATGGCCAAAAAATCGATTTTCGGCACCTCGGACGAACACATGCTACACATAGACGCGCCGTACTAAAGCACACGTAGTTTTAAAGTGAAACAAGATAAAAACTTCCGGTTTCTAAATTAAAATTACGCTGAAATCACGCCATAGCCGGAAGTCTCGAGGGACGCGAGATTTCATTGCTATTTTTAACTAAAAATAAGAGAGGTGTGTCGCTATGCGCCGGGACGAATTTGGACGCACCAGGAGGAACCCCCAGAGGAAGCATTTAGTCGCAACCATCAGGAATGAGTTAATCTTCATAATTTGTTTAGTCAGCAATTCACCATCACATTACTATTCACTCAAATGTTCTTGCATTATCTATTGCACAGCTTATTAAACTTCTCTGCCAGAAATGGGAACGCATGGCGCAGCCCACACTGGGCAGCCCAGCACATTGATTTTTTACATTTTTCTATCTCTTTTTCACCTTCTATAGACCAGTGACCAATGGTTCACAGACCATCGACCAATGGTTCAAAGACCAGTGACCAATGGTTCACAGACCATCGACCAATGGTTCACAGACCATTGACAAACGGTTCACAGACCAGTGACAAATGGTTCACAGACCAGTGACAAACGGTTCAAGGACCAGTGACCAATGGTTCACAGACCATCCACCAATGGTTCACAGACCAGTGACCAATTGTTCACAGACCAGTGACAAATGGTTCACAGACCAGTGACAAATGGTTCACAGACCAGTGACAAACGGTTCACAGACCAGAGAAAAATGCTTCACAGACCTGTGACCAATGGTTCACAGACCAGTGACAAATGGTTCATAGACCATCGACCAATGGTTCACAGACCAGTGACAAACGGTTCACAGACCAGTGACAAATGGTTCACAGACCATTGACCAATGGTTCAAAGACCAGTGACCAATGGTTCACAGACCATCCACCAATGGTTCACAGACCAGTGACAAACGGTCCCCAGACCAGAGAAAAATGGTTCACAGACCTGTGACCAATGGTTCACAGACCAGTGACAAATGGTTCACAGACCATCTACCAATCGTTCACAGACCAGAGACAAATGGTTCACAGACCAGTGCCCAATGGTTCACAGACCAGTGACCAATGGTTCACAGACCAGTGACTAACGGTTCACAGACCAGTGACAAATGGTTCACAGACTATCTACCAATGGTTCACAGACCAGTGACCAATGGTTCACAGACCAGTGAAAGACAGTTGGTTGTCCAAGAACTTGGTAGTATCACTTGCCCTACCGTCTCAGCTTTTCCAACAATGTGATATATTTCTTCATCTCCGTGTGTTCTTCAAGACAATCTGGAGTAATGGGCTCTTTGTTGCCGCAGCCAACAGCAGGGCACCTGTGGGGCAATGATCAGAAAAGAAGAGAGAATTAAGACAGTGAATTCATCCCACAGATTTAGTGAATGCACCCCAAAGATTTAGTGAATGCATACCACAGATTTAGTGAATGCACACCATAGATTTAGTGAATGCACCCCACAGGTTTAGTGAATGCACCCCACAGATTTAGTGAATGCACCCCACAGATTTAGTGAATGCACCCCACAGGTTTAGTGAATGCACACCACGGATTTAGCAATTTCATCCCGCAGATTTAGTGAATGCACCCCACAGATTTAGTGACTGCATCCCACAGATTAAGTGAGGACACCTCTGGATGAATGTACTCTAAACAAAACCAAACTAAGACAGGAAAACCGTAACACGTACTTAGCCTTTCCTTTCCTGTTTTGGATGTATCCCAGAATGCCTTCTTTATCGTACACATGATTGCAGATCTTGTTCTTGACAGGGGTGACCATTGTCTGACCAGTGTATGGACATTTAATGTTGATCTCCTCATCTGTCATAGCCATGTCATCATCATCATTGGAAGAATATGTCAGGGCAGCTCTAAGAGCTGCCAGTTGTTCCTCTGTAAACAGAAATTAAAAAAACATCTGGTTTTCTAATCCATCTGTGTAAAAAGACATGCTACTTAGAAGCAGGATATTGAATGCTTTGTTGTTTTTTTTTTGTTTCGTGACCGGCGAAAATCAAACTTAACAAATGTGTTAGCTAAAAGACCAACACAAAAATAACCAAACCCCATTAAAAGTCCACAACACGAACCTCCAGTAATCTGTCAACTAAACCTCCCGAGGAAAAACATACAGAAGAAGAATAATGATGGATTATAATTATAAGAATAATAATAAGATGTTTATAAGAAAAATAATTAGATAATTTTAAGGAGAATATTGTGATCAGTTTAAAAATAATGATATGATAAGTTACATATAATTTTTTTTTTTAGGTTTCAGAATTATTTACCATAAAAGATGTAGTAAAAATGTGGAAACCTGACCAGAAGTATGTGCTTACTTTATTAAATACAGAACAAAGTTTTTAGAAATTAATCTTTCATGTAAGAAATTTTAATTAATTTTAAATACCCGGTACCGTAATTCATTTGATCATCTTGTTAGAATGGCTGGCATTCAGCCTGCATTTCAAGCCTACAAGCACTTCAGTTTCAGGGTCAGAGGAAGACTAAGCTAGCATTGGATAGACTATGTTAAGGACACTCTTAAAGTTTAAAACACGTTTCTTCAGCAGAGTTCACACCTTGCGGCAGATTGCATTTGATAAATCTTCGGCAACGACCCACAGGGGTTTAATGAATTGTTAAATTATTCTTATTGGAAACTTGAAGTTTTTTTTTCCTGTTGTGGCTTAATTCATGCGGCAGCACACTTTGGACTTTTATTTCCATTTATCAAAAACTTGGCTGTATTATATGAAGTCTACCCACAGACAAACAAAAATTGTTTAACTTCCTACCTAAGCTCCCAGTGACATTCAAGCTTTCTTCTAGCTCCTTGAATTTAGGGTGAGACTTGTAGTCTTGTCTATTGCTTCTTTTCAGTTCTGCTAATTTTCTGTCAAATTCTTCTGACAAGTTCAAGCCATCTTCTGCATTGTTATCCTGTGACCAAAAATAAATACATTTGATACATCAAGTTATTGAATACCGTAGCCGTAATGGTATTCAAACAGAGGAGAAATCATTTTAAATTACAGACAATAGCTAACTTCTAGAGTAAGTTAGCTGTTTCAGTAATTCAAAGCTGTCGTTAGATTTTCGACATTATCAACATTAGTTCATCTACTTTAGAGATATACTTTCTTAAATATGTTTTTTCATATTGTTTAAGTAAGGTGACCATTCATATTGTCAGTATTAGTATAGTAGTGGTTTTTGGACATTAGTCCTGGTTAGTCTTGAGTTGTAACCAGCACAGTTATATACTACAAAATCGAATATCATTTATTTATAACAATATTACTTCTGACATCCAAGCGTAATTATAAAAAACTAAAAAAAAAATTTTTTTCATCCAAATTAGTATCACAATACTATTATTTCAAAAGAACACCTCCCAGACCAGAGAGTTCCGCGTGTTACCAAATAACCGTTTATCTTTGGACACTCATGGCATAAAAATGAATTTAAATGTCCTGGTTTTTAAATTTGAAAAAAAATATTAAAAAATTGTCATATTATCTTAAAGTGAAATGAATCTTATTAAACCTGCTAACTCCAAAGTCATGAAAATAGAAAATTTCAAACTATTGATGGTAAAAGAAGTTTAGGAAATAAACAACACAACATCATATTGAATCGATGTTGTTTTTTAATAAGACATCTTAAAGCTCATCTAATCCCATGACTTCCCCACAAAGTAAAAGAGAATCCACTTGATTCATCCATGAGAAGGGAACTTTCTTTTATACTAATTAGACTTTACGGGTCACATGAGTTTCTGTGTCCCACTGAACTCTCCTTTGCTTAGTAATGGTATTTGAAAACGAGGTTGTTAGTGTGAGTCTGATCATTTGAAAAATACATTTTGACTTTATTGATATGTTTTGGATTTTATTTACTGTAGAACCTATAATAAAGTGTGAAAAAGCGTAACGGTATTCAATGAAACTGTAAGTTGAGTTATTTTTTATTATTTTTAATATTTTTTAAAAATAATTTTAATCTATTTATTCAATTTTACGCTTTTCTCACGAGTGTGTAACTTAAGCGTATGAAGAAATGGTTTTAGGGTTCAACGTAGGTAGTTTAAGATTTTAGGTTTGATGATATACTTATGTTCACGTTAAGGAGACTGATGTTAGGTTTCAAGATTAACGCTTGAGTTAGGGAGACTAATTTTAGGTTTGTAGATTAATGTTTGAGCTAGGGAGACTGATTTTAGGTTTAAAGATTTACATTCAAGTTAGGGAGACTGATTTTAGGTTTAAAGATTTACATTCAAGTTTGGGAGACTGATTTTAGTTTTAGGTTTAAAGATTTACATTTGAGTTAGGGAGACTGATTTTTAGGTTTCAAGATTTACATTCAAGTTAGGGAGACTGATTTTTAGGTTTAAAGATTTAAATCCAGTTAGGGAGACTGATTTTAGGTTTAAAGATTTACATTTGAGTTAGGGAGACTGATTTTAGGTTTAAAGATTTACATTCAAGTTAGGGAGACTGATTTTAGGTTTAAAGATTTACATTTGAGTTAGGGAGACTGATTTTAGGTTTAAAGATTTACATTCAACTTAGGGAGACTGATTTTAGGTTTAAAGATTTACATTCAACTTAGGGAGACTGATTTTAGGTTTTAAATTCATGTTCGTGTTAGGGAGACTGATTTTAGCGCAATGGACCATTAACTTTCAGGTTAGGAAGAGTGATAGATTTTAGGTTTGAAGGTTTTTTGAAAAAAAATATTATTTCAATAAATTTTAATGCTTTCTCAAAGTTTCAACCTTTAAACAAACTTTTTGGTTCATTTTTCACATTTTGTAATTGATTTTTCAATGTAATTTAATATTATCATTTTTCATTTACTACTTATTGACAGGTCTGCTGCCATGGCAAAAAAGATGGCAGCAGTGTAAAAGAAAAGAAAGATAAAAAAGCAGTGCCTAAGACTGGGGAAAAATAGGGGACCCTGTTAGTACCACTGTTAGTGCAAATTTACCGCAAAAAACTCTAACTCCATAAACATATACTTTGGCAAACAATTTCGGAGATGAAGAGCTCACCAGCACCTTGATGTGATTTAGACCCAAGACATGTTGTTTTATATCATGTTCCATGCTGATAAACTCCTGCATGATGTTTTGAGTTGCATTTCTCAAGTTTTCATCTCCTGCTAATCAAAAATTTAGAAGATTACATTTTCTTCTCAACTTAATTTTGTATAAAATATATCTGCACCACCTGACTTCAGCCGTCAAACATTGACGAACATCTAATCAACTAGATCCAAAATACTCTTCCTGTTGGGAACTTTTAACCTTTGCCAAAAAATACAATTGAAGGGTTCAAGGGAAAAACCAGTGATGTCAGTTTTTCAAAATTTCTATGTTATCTCCCTTGTGGATACATTCCATTTAATAGAATAATATGATACATAGGTCCAACTGAAAAAGCAGCGTAGTCAATAAATAAATACGTAGACATCTTGATATTTTCATACTTTTATGAGGAATTTTCAAACTTTAAATTCAATTTTCTCCAAACTCTCAAAACCTGACATCACTGGTTTTTCCCTTGAGCCCTTCAATTGTTTAAAAGACTAATTATTTAATTAATAATACAAGTGATTTTTATTTCCTGCTCACAGAATTCAATCAATGCAGGCTACCCCAGTGGCAGCAATTCAATGTCAACACTGTCACTCACCACTGCAGTGGTCAGCTATATTCTGTCCAACATCTGTTGTGTTATCCATAGCAACGTTAAGATACTCGATCAGTTTCTGGTCCAATATCTGAAGATCTGAATCAACTTCACTCAGAAATCCTCTGTTTGTCATTTTTGGTTATGGCTGCTGAGATAATAATAATAATAAGAGGTCTTATATAGTGCGGTACCCCAGCCTAGGGCTGGGCTCACCGCGCTGTACATAAAAATTTTATCAAAAGAGACATAATCATTACATTAAAATAAAATACATTTATGAAATAAAGAACAGCAATGTATATTCACCCACCCCACCACATAACTTTTACAAGGCAAACCATGGATGGCAGCCAGCAAGATCGTTTATCGGTCAGAGGAGGGGAATCAGTCAGGGTAGATGCAATAACTACACCAGCAGATATTATCCTGCTCGTTAGGCCTACAGCAGATGATTTTAAAAAAATTGGGAATGTTAGGATTATTTGGATGCTGGAGAGAAAAAGATGACTGGCTGAAGTGGGAAAATAGGAGGAGGACTTTTATGCAATACATGTTGAGATGTACTGACATACACTTCTATCAGTTTTACAATAATGGAAATTCCATTCAAATGCTGTAACAACTAGCATTTGCAGCAAATACAACTTTTTGGGTCTTCTATGCCACACTTCAGGGGGGGCTTTCACCTCTGGTTAAGAACCATTTTCTATGGAAATGTTTCTGACACAGGTGCAATTATTTGATATCCATGGAAGGTGAATTTTCTAAGGATTTGCATGGCAAAGGATTGTAGTCTGTAAGTAGTGGACAGATGAATTTTATGGGGGGCGGGGGGGGGGGGGTAGCATAGATTTGGGACATATTTGAATTTGGGGGGGGGGGGTCTAACTTTTTTGTGACGACTGGGGCCCAAAATTTGCTTGACTTCATTTATGGCATGGATAGCCCCTTTATGGCTATAGCTACAAAACCTTTGCAAAAGTCCTTATAGGCCGGTATAGACATTGGGAACTTTTAAGCTTGGCCAAAAAATACAATTGTTTAAAAGACTTATCATTTAATTAATAATACAAGTGATTTTTATTTCCTGCTCACAGAATTCAATCAATGCAGGCTACCCCAGGGGCAGCAATTCAATTTCAACACTGTCACTCACCACTGCAGTGGTCAGCTATATTCTGTCCAACATCTGTCGTAATAAGGGGAGAGACTGCAATCAGGTTAGTACAAAATAAAATGAATAAAACAGAGTATGGTTAAACCTGAAAAAATAAACGCAACAAAACAGCGAACGTGTCGGCAGAAAGCCTTCGTCAGCGAACAAAACAACAGAAAAAACGGTATAAAAATAAGAATAAGAAAAATAAGAATAAGAAATAGCAACATCTGTCGCTACGCCTCTGCTTACACCTCTATAATTGAGTATTATTTAGTATAGTACTGTATACTAGTATAGACCTAGAATAGGCCTACGAAAAAATAACACATTAAGTATAAGTTTTATAAGTGAAATAGTCATTATTAGAAGAGCGAAAAATTTAATTTTTAAAACTTCAGTGAAAGTACTGAAAGAGTATGACACTGGTAGACTATAAGCTACATATACGTACCGTAGGTTATACTTATATGCCTATTAATTATATAATTAATATAGTTAGAAATACACAGTTACTAGTAAACTAAACACAGCGCCTTTGCGGAAAAACAAGAACTCTTCTGTCTTCAAGATCAGGGCTACCACTCAAAATTCCCAAGATTTTGTCAAAATATTTTTAAAGGATCTTGGGATTTTTTTTTTTGTTTAAAAGAATTCCACAAGATCTTGGGAAAATTCCCAAGGTGTGGCAACCTTGTTCAAGATACACTATATAACTTAATTTAAGTTGCCTAATTAGACGTGGTATCTAGAGTTAAATAAATGCTGCATTTATTTTATAACTTTATATAATTATGTCTAGGTGTCCGTTATTTATTTCTGAGCCAGTAGAGAGATAGTGCCATTAAAATATGCGGTCCCTGCTCGTCATTTTGTCATTTAGCCGGCCCACTGTGAAAAAAAATTTGGTGACCCATGATCAAGGGCAGGGGTCTCCAAACTTTTCAGTCCGAGGGTTTAGTTTTCGGAAATATATTTGAAAATGAATCATACAAATAAATAATGCTTCATTTTGCCTCAAAACACAGTAA